TTCTCAAGGCCCCAGCATCCAGCTGACAGGCACTGTGGACAGAGACATCATGGGCTGGGGCGGGTTGGGGGCACCGCCAGTGCGGCAAGATGCAAGCAAAGCTCCGGACAGGAGAATGCACGCATGTCTCCAGACAAGGGGCTTGTGAATGCCCAGCACAGCGAGGGGAAAGACTGGAACCCAGCCATGCCCCTGCCCCATCTCACAAGATCTCCAAAGCTCCCACAGGGCATGGGGAAGATTATACATCAGGATGCCCTTGAACTTCTCAGCAGGCACACTGGGGAGCTGAAGGCACAGAGCAGTGCTTTCAGCATTCTGAGTGAGAAGATTCTCCTCCTGACACCCAGCCAGCGGGGCAAGAGACTCAGACATGCATGGCTCCAACCTGAACTCCTACATGTCAGTGCTCTGAAAGGCTTAAAGGACGTGCTGTAGCAAGATGCGGGGGTGGAGTGTTTAACTCAGAAGAGGGACATGAGAGAGCCAGGAAACAGGACCCATCCCATTGCAGCAGGCAAAGGGGGTCCCCAGAGGACAGCACAGGAGTGTCTAGCAGAACTGGACAGTAGGCCACCACAGGATATTGACCACCTCGGAAATAGGAGGGCTAATGGTCCAGTCAGCGCCTGCCCACAAGCCTCGGGTTGGCAGGCCTGGCCCCATGAGACCCTGAAAGGTCGCAGCCTTGAGCCCCTGCCTGTGGAGCAGTGCCTTGCACACAGGGATAGTCCGGAGTCTGACAGTAACCACAGGAAACATAGGAGGAGGCCTGGGGTCTCTCCCTCCACAGCCCAGTGACAAGCGGCTTTATCTTTGTTCCGCTCATCTCTAGACCGGGGTGTCCTCATTGGTGAAAAGGGGGTTGATAAGACTGTGTGTGGAATGTAGCCCATTGCTTTCACACATTCTAGTTTATCTAATCCTTGTAAAAGGAGTCAATTTATGGGTGAGATGACAGAGGCTCTGAGAGGGTTCCGGAGGCTGAGTCCTTGACAGCCTGCTGGAGGTGCAAAGGCCCCCTGCAGTGTGCCACTGTCGGGACCCCCAGTGCACTGGCTGCTGCAGAATTGAAGATGCCTTCTCCCGACTTCCTGCTCCAACAGGAAGCAGAGCAGTCCCCCTCACTGGGCTCTGTACAATGCCCACTGCTCAGTGGCTTTGCTGGTGTCAGTCCCTCCAAATGCGCTAGTTCTAGATGCTCCCTGTGTTAGTCCAGGTTGACTAGAGAAACAAATCCACTTATACACTCATATGTGTAAGAGAGAACTTTTATGTCAAGAAGTTATAACATCCCAGACCAGTCCAGGTCAAATCCCTAAGTTCGATATTAGCACTTAAGTCCTGTATTAGTCCATGAATTCCTCTTCAGATTCCACCCTTGAGGCATCAGACTGTGACCTGATTGACAGGCTGGACTCCACGCCCCGCTCTTACTTTATCAAGTTGACCTGAAGTTGTGTGCCTGCCACATTCCCCATCTTGGCAAAGGTATCAGTGGCGGAGATGTCATGGATGCCGGTGGGGCAGTGGGCACCAGGCTAAGCATTGAGGATTTACTGTTGTGAGTGCAGCCTCCCAACAGCCTTGTTCCTTTGAAAGAAGGCCCAGAAAGCTCTGCTTACTTTATAGGACCATCAGCAAGGTAAAGTGTGTGTGTGTGTGTGTGTGTGTGTAAACCCCAGCACACAAGGGCGTGACATCTCAGTGTCGTGCTGAGATGCTAGCGCACTAAAACCAGTGTGACAGTTGCTGTATATTACAAGCGCTTTGCTTTGGTATCAGCTTTTCCTTTGTGTCGTTAGAAGATTGTTGATCCTGTTTCCCAGCAAAGATCAGAGGGAGGGAGAGAGACCATCTCTCACTTGTGCCAGAATTAGCATTCTCCATGGCTGATCTTCCCAGGCCAGTGCAGCGTGGAAGCTGTACCACCATAGAAATGCAAAGTAGCAGCTCTGAGAAGCTGCCGTGGAGAATGAGCTGATTCCAGGGGAATTCTCCCCTTTGGGTAGTTTGTCTACCTTTGTTCCTATTTTTGGTCACATCTGCCCTATCTATTTTTTAAAGCCTTTTCTTCTTTCTCAGACATGAAAACAGAAAAAGGTTTTGGTTCTCTATGGCCACGCTTCTCAGTTTTACCCCTTGTCCAGAGAGAATGAGGCTCCCATCTACCTGCTCTGCAAAGTGAAAGAATGTTTAGAAAGCAGTTGGAACGTCTCCAGAGGAGGGCCAACTTAACATGAAGTGAGATTTTCTTAGGAATGGGTGAGATTCTCACCTTCAGAAAGTCTGCAGTAATTTAGGATGGGGGGTGGGGGTGGGGGTATGAAACAGGCCTCTCTTGAAATGTAACGTGTGAAATATAAAGTCAGCTTCGTTTTGATGCTGTTTTCCGTTTATCAGAGGGATGTGAGAATCCAGGGCCATTTCCGTGCTGAGCAATGGCTTATGTAATGTACTCTGGAAGATTAAGTGCAGGGATAGCATCTTTGCTCTTGGTTCCAGAGAATTAGTACTAAAATATATCTGTTCTTCAGTCTGTGTAACCTGCTCTCTTTGAAGGCCCGTGTCAAGTGACAGCCAGCACGTGTTGAGGACAGAGTCCAGGGTGACAGGGAGGAGGCCCTGTGGCTGCAGAAATTCTTCCCATTCACATTGAAAGAGGAACCTGGAAGTTCCACCAAGCAGCATTCACATTCTCCAGGACTAGTTTGCACTGATGATCGTAGTTAGAAGACACTGTAGCCTTGAAGGACCCAGCGCAGTCTCCTGGGGGGCAGAAGTTGGTGGTTCCGTGTGTGGAGTGCACGGTGCCTAGTGGAGAGGTGTGCTTCCCTTGTTGCCTTGGTAATAGTCGCGAGAGTGGTTTCCCAGCAGCATCGGTCAGGTGCAGTGGGTGGGATAGCTTTCCATGTGAATCAAGCTTGCCTTGGTACTGAATACTAAAATCTACTACTAGAAACGCAAATCCTTAGCACTTCCATAAACTCTTTTTTAGCTTTTATTTTCTTATGAAACGAGAGAACTGATTATAACTCCTTATGGAGGTTGGGTGGGGGGGTCTTAGTGTTTGGGGCATTAATTATTGAACTCTCAGCTGTGTGAGATTGTGGTATATATATTTTATTGAAGA